ACAGAATTTGATCTCCTATTACTCGGTATAAGTGGCTCTTTAGACTTTTAATATTAGTCTCCCAATTGCCTCCAAAATGACTCGCGGCTGGGACGTTCAGAGACCACTCAATGCGGTTCTCGGCTAGAATGTGAGCGAACTCCGAATTACAATACTTGCTAGCTAAGAGCTCATGTAGTTCCGATATAATACGTTTTGCACCGACGTAGTTCGTACCGTTATCCGAATATAATTTACTTACAGGGCCTCTGCGGGATAGAAATCTTTTAAATGCACCCATAAAGCCTGCTGTGCTTAGATCACCCACGAGTTCTATATGCACTGCTCGAGTAGTTAGACATACGAAAATGCAGACGTAAGCCTTTGTGGATCTTATACCACGCCCGCGAGTGAGCGTGACCTTAAACGGACCAGCAAAATCAGACCCGGTGTGCGTGAAGGGCTTTACTGATTGTATCACTCTGCAAGATCTAAGTTCCGCCATTTCCGGAAATGACGGCTTGGGGCGTGCCCGAAAGCAAGCTATACATCTGTGCACCCGATTGCGTATTAAACTACGTGCAGAAAGAATTCAATAATTCTGACGCAAGATCGACATCAATAAATCGGGGCCAGCGTGCGAGTTCAATTTATGATGATAATCGACTAATAAGTTCATGATATGGTCTTTACGCGGTAAAACTATAGGGTGCCGTTGGTCGAAACTCAATTGCGAGTTGGACAAGCGTCCACCTACCCTTACAATCCCATCCTGTAAAAATGGCTTAAGGCGTTGAAAGGCGCGACTACAAGCTCTATTCGATTGTAATCTTGTAATTTCTTCGGAGAAGTGCGCACGTTGAAGTTCACGTAATACTAGCGACTCGGCATAGTTGTAATCGGATGCTAAGATATAAGAACGTCGCGGTAAAAGCTTCGCGAATCGACAAACGTAAATTACGCTTTGCAATAATTTCGACCAAGAGGACAAGCGGTTCGCCAGAGCAATGATTGGAGAAACCTCGCTCGAAACGTTCGCCACTAGAGCGTGTCTCTTCTCTTCCGGCGGTTGTGACACTGACGAAGGTTCGAAATCGGTTATTGGCCATTGTGAGGGATCCAAGTGAACCCAAGAAGGTCCATGGAACCAAAGCGGGTGGTCCATTATTTGCATCGGGGTGAGTCCCCGGGATAGACAATCGGCAGGGTTTTCCTTACCGGACACGTGATAAAAGTTCCGCGTTTCTAACTCGTCTTGGATCTTGGCCACTCGGTTCGCGACAAACGTATCCCAACGGTGGGGTGAAGAATGAACCCAACATAAGGCGACGGTGGAGTCGGAAAAGGCAAATATCCTTTCTATGTGAGCTCTATCCCTACATGCGCCGATAACTGTGGTAATAAGCTTGGTGAGTACTAATATTGCGCAAAGCTCTAAGCGCGCCAGAGAGACAACCTTACGGGGGGAGACTCTCGACTTAGAACTAATGAGGCTAATCGAATTTCTACCATTATTCTGGACATGGAAATATACAACGCCCCCGTAAGCCTTCTCGCTGGCGTCCGCAAATCCAACGACCGTTATGCTGCTATTTCTATCGACATTTATATGACGCGGTATTTTAATTTCTCTTAGTAAAGGAAGTTCCTCTCTAAAGCACTGCCATAATCGAACAATGCTGTCAGGCGGCGAGTCATCCCAATCGCATTCAAATAACCAAAGTTGTTTAATCAAAAGCTAAGCGTACTATACCACCGGAGCTACGAAACCCATGACGTCCCATAATCTAGCAACGCATGACAGTATTGTGCGCTTTGTGCATTTCTCTACGGGCGGATTCACCTTAAGGCTAAACACGTCGGACTCTGGTGACCAACACAGACCGAGCCCCTTGTGTGTATCGGAATCGTCGAATTCCTTTATCGCCGAAAGACGGTGTGATAGTGGGATTGTATCTAAAACCGTACGCGAATTACTAGTCCACTTCACAAGATCGAATAGACCCGATTTCATGAGCCTTATAACCTCGGCGGTGGTTAGGGTGGCGTCCTCCACGCTATCGACCGAATACACAAAATCATCCATATATAATCCGCTCTCAATTGCCCTCTTAGCTTTAGGATAAGAGGGACCTTCATCGGGAGCGAGCTGTCTCACCGTGCGTAACGCATGAAATGGACTCGACTTTAAACCAAAACAAACGCGGTTAAATTCAAACACCATTAGAGGTTCCTTTGGGTTGAAACGATATAAAATGCGTTGGAACCTACGGTCGCATTCACGGACCCCTATGCAAAGAAACATTTGGCGAATATCGGCGGATATTGCTATACTAAACAAACGAAAATTGACTATTATATTAAATAAACTGCCCTGTAAATTTTGCCCACTATAGAGGATATCGTTAAGCGACAGGTGAGTGCTAGTTTTAGCACTAGCGTCGAGCACTACACGTAATTTAGATGTAAGTTTGTCCTCTCTAATGACTCCGTGGTGTGGTATAAAATACGACAGTGTGTCCTCGTAGTTATCTAATTTCGAAGCCACAAGCGATATGTAACCTTCTCTTATATATTCGTTAATGACGCCGTCGTAAGCTTCCTTTAACTGGGGCGAAGCGAGCATCCTACGCTCCAAGCTGTAGAAACGCTTTTCCGCCATTTGACGCGAATCGCCGAGAGATAAAACATCTCCTTTAAAGGGTAGCGCTACACTATATCTACCGTCGCGATCACGAACGGTCGTGCGGACGTAAATTTCCTCGCATAACCTGTCATCTGGACTAGCTATAGGTGGGACGTTCACCTCCTCCATCTCCCAAAATTTGCGGACTAACGACTCGAGCGGTTCGACAGCCATACCAGTACAGGTACAGAAGCAGTCTTATAGTAATTACGTACAAAGGTTCTACTTATTCCAAATTCGCTGAAATATCTTCCAGTAGACCCATAAAGGAAATTATATTTAAATTGCAAACTTAGTGCATACATTAGTACTACTAAAAATAAATAATATACACAATGTTACGGAAATTATATAAAATAAAACAATAAATAAAAATAAAATAAATCAATAAATAATAATAATAATTGATACGATAGTTACATATGATATATATATATATATATATATATATATATATATATATATATATATATATATATATATATATATATAAATTAACAGGATGCAAAGTAGTTATCTCTAAGACGTTTCTTGAATATCAACAAAGTTTCGGAATTTCTTATATTTGACGGTAGTGAGTTCCATAATCTTACCGCGTGAACTGAAAAGGAGTGGGAGTAATAACCGGAATTAAAGACGGGAAAGTCAAGAAGATTTTTAACAAGGGCTCTGCATGGTTTGTCCGGAGGATGGGTGAAGGAAAATCGGCTTCTGAGGTATGTGGGAGAGGAAGGGTTGTGCAATATGTTATTGAGGACACATAAAAATCGAGTGTTCCTTCGAAGTCGAATAGGAAGCCACTTGAGTTGCTTACGAAACTGAGATATACTGTCAAATTTCTTGAGCCCAAATATGAAACGGATACACTGATTTTGCAAGCGCTCAAGTTTATTAAGAAGCTCCTCTGTAGCATCCAAATAACAAGCATCCGCATAATCAAGGAGAGGTAGGATAAGAGTAAGCACGAGTGATATTTTAGCTTTAAGGGGTAAGAAATTTTGTAGACATTTAAGCGAATGCAAAGTTTGTTTATTATTGTTGCATGTAAACATATAATATCTATTGTAAAACAGCATGGAAAATGAGAAATAAAAAGGCTTATTTATTTATTTATATTTATTTATTTAGATTACGAAAGAATATTAGACCAAATTAATCATTTGGAATTACAAAGCGACCCGAAATACATAGTGAACTACCAACCGCTGCTGGCATTCGAAGATATGTTGTGTCGCGTAAAAAGAACTGCAAAACTCCTACAATCTCAAAGCGAAGCAAAGCCGGAAATACAGGTACGCCCTCGTGACTCAATTAGGTTACCGCCAATAGATATTCCGGTATTCAATGGTGATATTAAGACGTGGCCCTTCTTTTTCAGTAGTTTTCAAAACAATATACACAACAACCCATCGTTATCGGACGCTGAAAAATTATATTACTTAATTAGTAAACTTAGTGACAGAGCACAGTCGATCTGCTCGGGTTTTACACCTACAGCAAACAATTACTTATTAATATTTGAAACGCTTAAAACTAAATATGAAGATAGGAGAATGTTAGCTTCCGAATATTTGAACCAGATATTCGATCTTAAACCTATATCATCCGCGAACATCAACGGCTTAGAGCAGTTTCTAGATAAATTTGTGGCATCGGTGGCTGCACTTAAGAATTTGAAGTTTAATGACCTTATGGACGTGGTGTTTCTCCATATAGCATTAAAGAAATTAGACCCCGACACCGTGCGTGCGTTTGAAATGGAGCATCGTAGCTCGGAGATGCCTTTCTTTCATTCATTAGCATCGTTCGTGCGAGATCAAATAAAGGTGATGCAGCGCTCTCCGAACGTTAAACAGGAGATTAAAAGGTGCGTCGACCGTAGACAGACTCAACCATCTAAAATAGCAGGGTCGTTAACTTACGTAACCGCTACGCCGACATCACTCCAGCATACTTGTATAGTATGTAAAGATAAACACGGTAATTTATATAATTGTGCGACTTTTCGTAAATATTCACCAAGCGAACGTTATAAGTTAGTAAAGACAAACAACCTATGTTTGAACTGCTTAAGCGATAAGCATTTAGTTGCAAAATGCAATTCGAGTTCCGTATGTAGCAAGTGCGCCAGGAAACATCACACGCTATTACATTTTGAAAATAGCAACATAGCGGCGTCAAGTAAGGCGGATAAGGAATTCACCCCTACTAACAAAATCTCAAACCTAAAAGTCGTGAAGACAAAATAAAACTCAGCTTTATCTATAAAATAACAAACAAAAATATCAGGAAAGACTACAATTTCCACAGATTAAAAGCAATAGAAAAGTATATAATGACTAGCGGCAGGTGCAAACGCGCGTACAAAGAACTTCGCTCACACAAAACTTGGATACCCAGCTTATTAGAAAACTCTATTCCATCAACTAATAGAGAAAACATCCTCAAAATAGCAACAAAGTTCTATGCAAAGCTCTACGACCAAAAAGACCTTAGGAATTTCGAAGCCATAAAGTTTTACTCTCAAAATCAAACGATTATCGATTGGACCGAAACTGAAATAGATAGAGAAATAAAGAGGTTAAAATCAGACCAGAGCCCAAGACCAGACGGTGTTCTCAACAAGGCGCTAAAGCTAGCAAGAACAGTGCTAACACCAGTGATAACTTATTTATTCAATGTTATGAATAAAGAGCGAGAGTTCCCGAGCATTGGACTAAATCAAGTATTATATTACTCTATAAGAATGATAGAGATATTGGGAATTATCGACCCATCAGTTTACTACATAGCCTTTACAAACTTTTCTCACAGTGTGTTTTAAGTCGAATATCTGCAAAAATTGATAGAAATCAACCGGTAGAGCAAGCGGGTTTTCGTAGAGGATATTCAACCGTAGATCACATTCAAACTCTCGAGAACATAGTTGAGAAATATAAGGAATTTCAAAAGCCTCTCTATTTAGCATTTATAGATTACCAAAAAGCATTCGACTCTATCTCACACATTTCAATATGGGGGGCACTGAAGGCGAACAACGTAGAAGACATCTATTGTAATATAATTAAAGACATATACGAAAGAAGCACAAGTAGAATTAGCCTGGAAACAAATGGCCCAGAAATAAAAATAAAAAGAGGCGTTAAACAAGGTGACCCTTTATCCCCCTAAGCTCTTCATCGCCGTACTTGGATTATATTCAAAAACCTTGACTGGAAAGATGTTGGTATTGGAATAAACGAGAATTATCTCAGCCATTTACGTTTTGCTGACGACATAGTATTATTCTCAGACACAAGTCCACAATTAGAGCAAATGATACAAAATCTACAGGCAGAAAGCGCTCGCGTAGGACTACAAATGAACCTGCAGAAAACTAAACTGATGACCAATTCTACAAAACCATCAATAAAGATAGGAAACGAAAAGCTTGAGTATGTAGACACCTATATCTACCTTGGAAAGCAAGTATCATTCCACCAAAATAATAACATAGAAGAAATAATAAGGAGAATAAATATTTCTTGAAAAAAAATATTGGGCACACGAGGATATATGTGAAATAATGAAAAGAGACATGCCGATTTCTACGAAAAAAGAAAATAATGGATAGTTGCATCCTTCCCTGCCTAACGTATGGTTCGCAAACTTGGATATATACAAAACAGGCAAAAGAAAAAATCAGAATATGTCAAGCTGCTATGGAACGATCTATCCTAGGACTCCGAAGGAGAGATAAAGTACGCCACACCAAGATAAGAGAAAAAACAAACCAAATTGATTTCTTAACCCACTCGATGAAATTGAAGTGGAAATGGGCAGGACATCTAGCTAGAATAGAGGATGCTCGATGGACGCGTCGAGTCGTGGTATGGAAAGGGCCCAAGGGTACAAGAAAACGAGGAGCCACGTAGAAGGTGGATTGACGACATCAAAGACATAGCAGGAGATGATTGGCAAACCAAGGCAAAAGATAAAAAACAATGGTCAAAAATGGAGGAGGCCTTTACCCTAAGACAGGGGTTCTCATTAAATTAACAGAAAATAATATTTTCTTTATTATTATTATTTTTTTTTTTTTTAATTTATTTTATGTACACACATATACATAAAATAAATTAAAAAAAAAAAAAACAAATCATAACATACTAACAAATCATTTACATAATTAATTCATATTTAGTTACATAATTAATTTGAATTTGCAATTTTTAATGTTAAATATAATTTATATAATTTAAAAATGTATTTTTCATTATATAATTTGATTATTTACACATTATTACTAATAAATAAAAATAATAATAATAAAGAAAATATTATTTTCTGTTAATTTAATGAGAACCCCTGTCTTAGGGTAAAGGCCTCCTCCATTTTTGACCATTGTTTTTTATCTTTTGCCTTGGTTTGCCAATCATCTCCTGCTATGTCTTTGATGTCGTCAATCCACCTTCTACGTGGCCTCCCTCGTTTTCTTGTACCCTTGGGCCCTTTCCATACCACGACTCGACGCGTCCATCGAGCATCCTCTATTCTAGCTAGATGTCCTGCCCATTTCCACTTCAATTTCATCGAGTGGGTTAAGAAATCAATTTGGTTTGTTTTTTCTCTTATCTTGGTGTGGCGTACTTTATCTCTCCTTCGGAGTCCTAGGATAGATCGTTCCATAGCAGCTTGACATATTCAGATTTTTTCTTTTTGCCTGTTTTGTATATATCCAAGTTTGCGAACCATACGTTAGGCAGGGAAGGATGCAACTATCCATTATTTTCTTTTTTCATAGAAAGCGGCATGTCTCCTTTCATTATTTCCTTGTGAGCCCATTATTTTTTCCAAGAAATATTTATTCTCCTTATTATTTCTTCTATGTTATTATTTTGGTGGAATGATACTTGCTTTCCAAGGTAGATATAGGTGTCTACATACTCAAGCTTTTCGTTTCCTATCTTTATTGATGGTTTTGTAGAATTGGTCATCAGTTTAGTTTTCTGCAGGTTCATTTGTAGTCCTACGCGAGCGCTTTCTGCCTGTAGATTTTGTATCATTTGCTCTAATTACGGATTTAGGTCTGAGAATAATACTATGTCGTCAGCAAAACGTAAATGGCTGAGATAATTCTCGTTTATTCTAATACCAACATCTTTCCAGTCAAGGTTTTTGAATATAATCTCAAGTACGGCGATGAAGAGCTTAGGGGATAAAGGGTCACCTTGTTTAACGCCTCTTTTTATTTTTATTTCTGGGCCATTTGTTTCCAGGCTAATTCTACTTGTGCTTCTTTCGTATATGTCTTTAATTATATTACAATAGATGTCTTCTACGTTGTTCGCCTTCAGTGCCCCCCATATTGAAATGTGTGAGATAGAGTCGAATGCTTTTTGGTAATCTATAAATGCTAAATAGAGAGGCTTTTGAAATTCCTTATATTTCTCAACTATGTTCTCGAGAGTTTGAATGTGATCTACGGTTGAATATCCTCTACGAAAACCCGCTTGCTCTACCGGTTGATTTCTATCAATTTTTGCAGATATTCGACTTAAAACACACTGTGAGAAAAGTTTGTAAAGGCTATGTAGTAAACTGATGGGTCGATAATTTCCAATATCTCTTGGATCACCTTTCTTATAGAGTAATATAATACTTGATTTAGTCCAATGCTCGGGAACTCTCTGCTCTTTATTTATAATGTTGAATAAATAAGTTATCACTGGTGTTAGCAGTGTTCTTGCCAGCTTTAGTGCCTCATTGGGAATACCGTCTGGTCCTGGGCTCTTGTCTGATTTTAGCCTCTTTATTTCTCTATCTATTTCAGTTTCGGTCCAATCGATAATCGTTTGATTTTGAGAGTAAAACTTTATGGCTTCGAAATTCCTAAGGTCTTTTTGGTCGTAGAGCTTTGCATAGAACTTTGTTGCTATTTTGAGGATGTTTTCTCTATTAGTTGATGGAATAGAGTTTTCTAATAAGCTGGGTATCCAAGTTTTGTGTGAGCGAAGTTCTTTGTACGCGCGTTTGCAGCTGCCGCTAGTCATTATATACTTTTCTATTGCTTTTAATCTGTGGAAATTGTAGTCTTTCCTGATATTTTTGTTTGTTATTTTATAGATAAAGCTGAGTTTTATTTTGTCTTCACGACTTTTAGGTTTGAGATTTTGTAGGTCGTGACGTTGTTTAATTAGACTTAATGTATCCTCGGTCAGAATGTTGTAAAGTTTGCGTTTCTCTACTTGTTTGTCTGTTATCATGCTTTCTAATAGACATTTTTCTAGATTGTTGTATAAGGTTTGAACCGTGTGTGTTTCCTCCAATTTTATAGATTTTAAATTCTGCTCTAGTTTTTCTAGGTAATAATTTGTTTCACTTTGGTTTCTCAATGTGCACCTATGAGTTTTGAATTTTGACGACTCTTTTTGTTGGATTTGAAGGATATTTTTGATCTAACCATTCTATGGTCTGATGGGAACATAATGTTATTTAAAACATGCAAATCTTGGAATCGGTTTGGAAAATTTGTGAGTATATATGTAATCTATTTCATTTTTGATTGTTTGGTCAGGAGACTTCCACGTCCACGTATGACTGCTCTTTTTCTTGAAAAAAAAAGTTGATAATGGATAGGTTATATTCTTGCGCATAGTGTATTAATTGTTGACCTCTAGGGCTTCTATTTCCAAAACCGTACTTTCCAAGATGTCTGCTTTCTTCGAAGTTCCCCTTCCCTACTTTCGCGTTAAAGTCGCCCATAACTATTACATATTTTCTTGAAGCTTCATGGGCTCTATGTAGGGTGTTGTAGAAGGTTTCGATTTCCAACAATTCAGACTCTTCAGTAGGTGCATAAACTTGTATAATAGTTATTGGTAGGTCATATAAATCGACACCCAGAAGAACTACACGATCGGATAAACCCCTAAAGCTTTTGATATAGGTTTTTAGATGCTTTTTTATTATAAATCCGACTCCATATCTTCCCCTTATCTGTCCATTGTAGCATAATATGAAATCATCGTATTCGTCCACTCCGTAGCCGAATCTTCTCATTTCTGACAGTCCAATGATATCGTATTTAATATTCTTAAGCGCGTTCGTAAGTTCTATAAGCTTTTCCGGGCTCGCCAGCGTTCTCACGTTGTATGTGCCAATGTAGAGATTGTGTTGATTTTTCTTTTTGTTGGTATTGTTGTTCTGTATCTTTGGAGGGTTGTAGTCAAGAGAAAAAATCGATTTCATTTCTCTCCCCCCGCGGTGACCAGCCGTATTGGGTTTTGTGATAGTGGGGGGGCCTTCGTTAATTGTTAAATACTGGATGTTGGAGCTTCATTTTTTGGGGATTTCTCGAAGTCTTTTCTTTGTCTCATAAAAGCAGTAATTTTGTTTTTCTTTAGAGCTTGGCTTTCATGGCTTGTTCCATCTTGGTTTGAAGAAGTATGCAAATTTCTTTTTTTTGAATGTTGTTGTGAGTTCTGGTTTTTATCGGATTTATTTGGGTTCAAAATTATTAATTTGTCATATTTAATTATAGCTTTTAATCCTTCTGATTTATATTTTATTAATTCCAATTGTAGTTGTTTCCTTTTCTCTAAAACTTTTTGTGGGTAATCTTCTTTGTAATATATTGTGCTATTTTTAATATTTTTCTTATTTTGTAGTAACATTATTTTTTTCCCCACAGTTGTGAAGGTGACTGTGATGGGTCTAGGTATTTCTCTTTTTTTTCCTAATCGTTTTGCAGATTCGATTTCGTTTCTCTCACAAGGAATATTAATTTTATTAATGAACGATAAAATTTTATTTTCTAGCTCGTGGTATGATTTTTCTCCTTCC